CCCCCCCCCCCCTCCCTAGCCTCCTCCTCCCGTGGTCACCAGCTTATGACCTTCTACAATATCTTCCAGGAACAAATACAACTGATGGTACCTTGTGCGTTTTCCCGTTCCTCTACAAAGAGGTATGGTACAATCATTGCACATGTGTCGATTGGAATCATCCTTGGTGTGCAACTACGCAAATCTATGACAAATACGCCTGGGGTAACTGTGTTAATTGAAGAAGGACGTCGATGAGAACCTATTATAGTTATTCCGAGGTTGTGGGGGGGAGGGGGGAAGGGATCGAGTAAATAATAATAATTGAGTTAGTATTGCAATAGGGCAATACGGCAATTGGGCAATCGAATCTGGTCAATCAAATGAACTGTTCGCTAACAGTTTACATACTTGATGTTAGTGTATTGCCCAATTTCCATGTCTTGACTGTTGTCTCGATCAGCGCCGTGTAGCAATTAAAACAGTGGTAAAACTATCAATACATGCAGGATATCGATGAGCTAGCTCATTGCATGTTCACCGTTTTGGGGTTAAATTAGCCTGCGTAACAGGCCCATTTTCTCTCGGCTCCCATCCAGCAACGTCGAGGAACGCCTGCTACTAGATGCTACGCAGGCTAGGGTTAAATGTTCATAATGGAAGGTATCCTCGTGTCAGACTCGCAGCTGAATAAATGTAAGACATACGATTGATCGAAGTTATCTTTGCTAATCTCGTAATGGGCTGCCTGACTTTGATTAGTCGAATAACTACGAATAACTAGTTTTATTTGTAATCTTGCAATTGCTTTAAATAAACTTGTTGTTGTTGTTGTTGTTGCTGTCGTTGTCGTAATAAACTACTTGCTTTTTTTCAATAAGTAATAAATCGTTAAAACCTAAGATTGTCCATTAAATTCCTCCAACCCAATAGATATTTTTACCTTGGGCACAATGTTCTCCCATTTCAGACCACGCGTCATTCCCTGGAGTATTATTTCTTTGTTTAACGGTTGTGCATGATAAGACACATGAATATGGACACGACTACAACACAGAATCTTATTCTCAAGAGAATGACATGTGGTCTAAAATTGAAGAACACCACACTCAAGTCAAAGAGGTCTATTGTGTGACCAACAAACCTCTTTTGATTCGAGACTTCAGTTTCTGACCATAACTAATGATTTCTTGATGAGTTGATTGTGGGATGGGTATTGGTATGGGGAATTTGAGGTGTTGGAAATTGGTGCAATGTACCTCGAAGGGGATCCTGTATCCTATTGTGCCGCACCAGCCTGCGAGCAAAATCTCAAATAAAGATTACAGCTTGTACGTGTCTTCGACAAGCACTATTAGCTATTAGTTCACAGGAACCTTGAACGAAGTCATTAGCACTAAACAAGCAATTAAAGATCTTCAAAAATAATTTACTGTTAAATACTGAATCCTAACGAAATCGAAACCAGCTCTTGGTGACTTGCTCTTGATAATAGGGCCTAAAAAGCCTGTTGCGACGGCTCACAATTCACAATACTGCATACTGAATAGTGCATTCCAAGACTGAAGGGCAATGTGGGTCTCGTTAATTTAAAATGAAAAGTAAATATACAGGACAGTGGCGGATGCAGGGCTTTAAGAGGGGAGTTCATTTTTGCAAATCTCGGCACAACAATAACGTTCTCTTGCATCAGCATTTTTCCCATGAGGCACATCACTGGCCTAGGGGCGCTCCTGATAAGAATAACCTATCCACCAGTCCCATTTTATATTAAATCTCATGAGTTAGTACCATACTTTTATTTATTTATTTAAAAAATTATAAAAAATCCAAGGTACCAGCCGGTGTGCGTTTTTGGGGGGGGCACCCAATGAACCCCCCCCCCCCCCACTAAATCCGCCACAATAAACAGGAATTAACTCTCTACATGTAGTTAGTATATTGTTTCAGATGGAATACACTAAAAATGGAATAAATAATTGTTATTAGTCCTATTTTAGACAATGTCACTATGACCCACAATGCACTTCGGTCTTGGAATGCACTATTCAGTATGCAGTATTCAGTGTTCAACCTTTTTTGAAATAGCTGTATAACAAGGTCATCATTTAAAAAAATTCCTTTGGGTCAAGGCTTCGGTAAAAAAAAAAAACGGCTTAGTAAACTTCTAGAATATGACTTTGGAAAAGTCACTGCAGTGATACGTCTAAAACCAGACAACCTTGATATTAAAAAGACAGCTAGTTGCACGCCACCGAAATCTTTTTCCCCATATTTAGAATGAAAAAAAACCCCTCAAGGTCCTGAAGGTATCCGCTTAATAGACTGGTACCACCGTATTTACTGTAAAATAAACCTCTATTCAGATATATATTTATATATCTCTGTTTATATTTTTTTAGCTTTTTACGTTGTGACCTTATCTTAGGTAATTTAATGTTTTATATCATACAAAGAAATCTGTGTAGAGACAGGGAACTCAGGTTGTATGATAACATGACTCAGTTTGGTTCGACACGGTTTTCTTAAGATACACCTTTTTCGGAATGGAATTAATCTTTTTTTAATTTCAGACTCCCTAAGAGTAGGATAGCTTATTTGTGACATCCACATTAATCAATGTTCGTCTAATGGCATGCACAGTTGCGAAAAGTATGGTCGTGGAATTAAAAGTGATAGCCCTTCCTCAGTTCATTGGTTGTTTTCGATATGAAAAATCTAGTTTATTCCTAAAGCGAATAATGAAAGCCGCCCTGTAGTGTGACTAAATTTCTCTTTATCCTTTACGTTGAAGGGGCACTTGGATGAAAACGCTCCCAATTTTTGAAATTCCAAATAATTGAAGGATTTGAGGATACAGTAATATGACTCAATTGTGACTATGAAAACCAGATTATTTTTAAAATTTTAGCCTGTGAGCCTTTTGCAGCTGAGAATTTTTTAGTTAAAAGCGAAATGAACAAAAGCGTTGAGTAAATGACGTCATTTACTCACAATTTAGATGCTGAATAAAATTGATAATTTTTATGAGACATTTTACAGTGAAGAAAATATGTTGCTTGGCTACTATCGTGGTCATATAGATAAGTTTAGCCAATTAAATTCAAGTAATTTCCAATCTTTATCCATTTTCATCCAAGTGCCCCTTTTTTCATATAATCTGTCTATACTATGGTATTAAAGCACGAATAATATAACCACCTGGTAACGGTTACTACGTATCACTGCTGTGAACATGACCTTATTTGGCCTGGAAAAGGGCGTAAGTCAATGACTCACTGTATTAACATCAATCTGGAACTTCTTGTATGACGTAAGGATGACGTCAATATAAAGCCAGAACAAAAAACTCAAGCAGTGAAGTCAAAGCCAAATCCAAATAAATTAATGAGTGGTCAGGGAATTTTGTCAGCAAGGTCAGTGACTTATTAGATATCGGCCAGGTAGTATTGTACCTTCCATTAAGGCATAAGGTTTTAGGAATAGTTTTTTTAAAATAAATAATATAGAGTGATATTCAACATTCGGATGCTGACAACCCGGTCATTCTAGCTTGTAATTCATCATGCACTATTCAAAGTACTTTCAAGTCCCACAACACTTTACTTATACGTGAAAAATTTAGCTTCTTTTTAGTGAAGCCTAGACACATGTAGATGGGTGGACTAATTTTCCTTTCCTGAACGAAAGTGATGAGTTTAGACTGGCTTCGATATAACATCCATTAGAACTCGACATCGCACGGTGTGGAAACGTAATCTGTTCGCGTTCGTTTTTCCCAATAAACTGGACAAATTTATTTGTTTGTAATATATCAAACATAAGAAAGGGTTTTGATGAACCACTATTATAGACACTTTTTCAGCGTTCTGGTTTAGGTGTCGACATGACATTATTTTACTTAAAAGTACGGATTTTCATTTTTCTTCTTGGTCGTCATGATTTATCGTATTTTAGCCCCACAAAATGTTATCTATTGGCGACTATTTAATTAAATCTTGATTTTGATGTTTTATCGTATTCAGCGATATTACTAGAGTATTTTTTAAATTATATTTGATTGTACACAATTTAGCGGTCTTTAGACTTGATTTCAACTGTCCATTGCGCGTGAATTTTATCCATACTTTATGAAACAACCTCTGGGCTGTTCAAAGTCAGCGCAAGGCTAACTGACGGATCGAATCAGAATTTAGCGCCTTGGGGTTTGAGGAGGGAGGAAAATCGGAGAACAACCCTCGCTTCAATGGAGAGACCTAACAAACTCTACTCACATGTGACGTCAAATCCAGGAATCAAACCCAAAACTTACTCCCACCCTTGATTCTCATTCTTTGAGTTGACTTAGCAGAAAAAAGTGGAGGCTTCATATCATTGATAGGAGCAACGCCTTTTTTGGTTGCATGTCATGATTTGTCAAGGGTTTACTTCAGGCACTTGATCGTCACGTGACCAGTGGTTACTTCTCCGTTTTCCAATTGGTTGCTTCGATAGAAATGCTGTGAATGACGTTATCATCTACCATAACTGGCAAGCTGCCCTTTAGAAGTTCATCATTTAAATTCTATAGATGGTGAAAATTACGCACTAACACGAAATGATTAACTAAAACTATAATCCTAGGAAATCTCTAGAACTGAAGATGTATGAACAACAGCTTCACAGTATTAATATTAATTGTATTTTATCGTATGTAATAAGTTGTTCTAAATTAATTTACTTAGGGCTATATTGTCTGTTGAATGCTAGTAAGAAGGGCATGTAAAGTTATTATTATTATTATTATTATTTTTATTTTTCACAAACATCATGAAATATTCCCTGTCATCACTTCATTCAATCTGGTCTACCGCTCACGCTAATCTACCTAAGAACATTTTTAACTTTACCATTCGATATATCAACAACTCACTACCTACACGCACGAATCTAGCAAAATGGGGTTTGTCAGCTATTTCTGAGTGCTCCTATTGCGTTTCTTCAGAATCTCTTCGTCATGTTGTTGCTGGATGCCAATACTATCTACCACGTTTCACTTGGAGGCACGATTCCATCTTAAACTTCCTCGCTGCATCACTGCTATCTAAACTCGACAAATCTTCATTATATGCTGACATTGAAGGCTATACCAGCCCCTCGCTTATAACTGGAGATGC